CCTTTCCCACAGTCGATTTATGGTCGCAGGTGCCTAGTTTGCCCCTGTTGCCTGATGTCTAGTACACAACCTTCTTTTTGTAGACGTTGTTGGGCCTGCAAGTGCACAGGTTTGTAGGACAGTAGCAAATTTCCCTCAAGTGGATGACCTAAGGTTTATCAATCCGTAGGAGGCGTAGGATGAAGATGGTCTCTCTCAAGCAACCCTGCAACCAAATAACAAAGAGTTTCTTGTGTCCCCAACACACCCAATACAATGGTAAATTATATAGGTGCACTAGTTCGGCGAAGAGATAGTGATGCAAGTGCAATATGGATGGTACATATAGGTTTTTGTAATCTGAAATAATAAAAACAGCAAGGTAACTAATGATAAAAGTGAGCGTAAACGGTATTGCAATGATAGGAAATAAGGCCTAGGGTTCATACTTTCACTAGTGCAAGTTCTTTCAACAATAATAACATAAATAGATCATATAACAAGTCCTCAACATGCAACAAAGAGTCACTCCGAAGTCACTAATAGCGGAGAACAAACATAGAGATTATGGTAGGGTACGAAACCACCTCAAAGTTATTCTTTCAGATCAATCTATAAAAGAGTTCGTACTAGAATAACACCTTAAGATACAAATCAACCAAAACCCTAATGTCACCTAGATACTCCATTGTCACCTCAAGTATCCGTGGGCATGATTATACGATATGCATCACACAATCTCAGATTCATCCAACCAACATAAAAGTATTTCAAAGAGTGCCCCAAAGTTTCTACCGGAGAGTCAAGAACGTGTGTGTCGGAGTAATGGGCCACGGGTAGGCTCACCCGAGTCCCTCGATTTATCAAGACTTTGGGCCAGCTCCGCCTAGCTGGACCCCAAGCTGAAGCTCCGCCCTCTGGGGCCGGCTGGCTCAGCGGCCGGCTGCCAGAGGGCGGCCGACCCAAGTCTACGGCGCTTCGAGTGACCGGCTCCTGGCGGCCGCCCTCCAAAGAGGGCAGCAACGGGCAGGCGGCCACCTCACTACTACCGTGCGGCCAAGCCCCCATCGAGAGTACAAGTCAAAGCATGGCTATAGTGAAGCACGTCGCCTCCAACGCTCGAGACGGGCGTGGCTACAGTGCTCCGTACAGATGGAGATCTCCGCACGACGGAGCACTGTGTCGTATCTACCCTGACGTCACTCCGGGCAGGCAGAGCCCTGTTCCCCACGACGGCCTGTCGATACAGCCTACCGGAGGCGGGCCCTATCGGGCAGTGACCCCAAGGAAGACGGCGGAAGCACGACCAGACGGATTCGGGAGGGGCCGGCCTCCAGCAGGCGGCCGTCCCTTGTCCCGAGGCGAGCACACCATTAAGCTGATAAGACCAGGTGTGTCTACAGTGGCCTCTCGCCAGGCGGCGGGACTGTAGCAACGCTAAGATGACCAAGCCCCCGTCACCAACGACACGGCTACAGTAAGCAGCCACCAACCAGCCGGTGGGGCCCACCAGGCGGCGGCCCCAACAATCTGCGGAGAAGCCGGAGGCTGGAGACACTGACAGCCAGGCCCAGCACCCGGACGAATTACCATTGTACCCCTAGGGGGTAGGCCTATATAAACCCCCCCAGGTCACCCATGTAAACGGTTCCCACTCCATTAGAACTAGCCACTCCCCTAGAGCAGGAAGAGGGCTAGCCTTGCCTCCTTCTGCCTCTAGCACACAGCTCAAGGAGCACCATTGTATCACTTGTGCCTTAGTGATCATGCGAAGACCCCGCAGAGCAGGACTAGGGGTGTTATCTCCTAGGAGAGCCCCGAACCTGGGTAAAGTACGCCGGCGTTCGTGTCTACGCCTTATCCTGCTTCCAGGCACCGGCGATGTTGTACTCGCTCCCACCATGATAAGCCATCCATTGGCATATGTCGCACCCAACCCCCAACATTTGGCGCCCACCATGGGGCGAGGTGCACCGTCTCTCGGAGATCTGCTCTGGACGGGAACCCTGTTCCTTCCTGGCGAGCGAAGCCAGCCCAGCACGCCCGACGGCGTCAGCCCTGACGCGCTGCACGTCGCGGAGATCGCCTGCGCGGCGAGCTGCCTCGCCGACCTTGTCGGCGAGATCGACCTCTCCGACGAGCCGGCCTCCGACGCGAGCACTAGCTGCCCTGAGAGCCGCCTCGTCAGCTTCCTCGACCAGCTGCATGTCACCAGCGAGTCTGCTGTGGACCTGGAGTCCGTCGGCTCGACCGATCCGATGATCGTCGACTCTGACACGGCGTCGCTCGACGCGTTCCCCACCAGCGTGGTGGTCTATGATGAGCCGCCTCCTCGCGAGTACAGTGGCGGGAGCACCGTCACAGAGGTACTTGTCATCAACAGTGAAGAGCACTCGGACGGGCGTGCTCAAGATCCCCTCGAGCCACTCTGCATGACCTCACGGCGCCCATCCCTGAGGGCGCGGACACTAAAGCGCTGGAGGCACGCCACCTCTAGCTTCTCGAAAATGCTGGCCGCCTGGCCATCATGCGCCGGCTTTCGGACGCCTACCGGCGCGAGATGGACCGGGCCGTAGGCGGCACGTCGGCTCCCGAGGGGCCTAGCCGCCTCGGCACAGTTCGGCAGCATGGTGCGACCATCGCCAGCATGTTCGGGGTGGAGCGCCCCGTCTACGCCACGCCTGCGGAGAACATCCGGGCCGCCTAGGCGGTAACAGATGAGTTGGACAAATACGACGACGACGAGCGCCGCCACATGACTGAGTGAGTCCAGCAGCTCCTAGACGCGGCTGCCGCGCAGCACGAGGCCGCCTGCCATGCTGAAGTCCCAGCCCGACGAAACAACGAGCCGCCCCCACGCCAAGATCATGGGGAGACCTCCCGGACGCTGACTGGTGGCGCCCGCGGAGGAAAGGGCAACGAGTCGGCTGCCAGCCGCAGTCGGACGCACCTCTCCATCGAGCGGGACGAGGACAGCCGCCCTCGTGCATGGCGAGGCGACCTGTTGCCTCCCCCGCCTCGTGGAGCAAGGTACCCCACTCCGCCTCCTGTCACGCATCCGACACTCGCCGGGCGCCTTGGCCGTCGAGAGGGAGTCGGAGAGAATGATGCTCGCCATCGGATCGATCATCTCAACTGATCCCTGGCACTTGAAGAAGAAGATGCGCTGGGCCCCCCTGTTTCGGCCCCCGAATCCGAGATGAGCCCTTCCCCAAGGGGTTCACCCTCCCGCGAGACACACCCAAGTACACCGGCTCCATGAAGCCGGAGGACTGGCTGGTCGACTACTCCACGGCCGTCAGTATAGCAAACGGCAACAAGCACGTTGCCGTGAAATACGTCCCGCTCATGCTTCAAGGCACTGCCCGGACGTGGCTCAACAGCCTGAAGCCCCGCAACATCAACAGCTGGGTTGATTTCACTGAGGTCTTCATCCGCAACTTCACCAGCACCTACAAGCGGACTCCCAAGCCCCGACAGCTCTCCTTGTGCGTCCAAGGGCCCACGGAGTCAACTTGCGACTACCTCACGCGCTGGACCGAGCTGCGCAATTCCTGCGAAGGCGTGCATGAGGGGCAAGCGATCGAGTACTTCACTACCGGGTGCCGAGAGGGCACCCTCCTCAAGCACGGACTCCTCTGCGACGAGCCCGAAACCCTCGATGAGCTGCTGGTCATCGCCGACAAGCACGCCACGACCGACTCGTCCATGAAGGCGGAAAATTCTGGTTGATGCGTCCGGCAAGGTGGCACCTCAGGCCCCTCGGACTCCGGCTGGTGACACCAGTTGGCGACAGCAACCAGGTGATAACAAGCGGAAGGCCACCCAACCGGCTTCCACCAGCCGACAGGTGGCAATGGTTGAGGATCAGCAGCCAGAAGGACAGCCGGCCCCCAAGCGGCAGAAGGGCGGCAAATCCAATTGGTTGCCTGCCTTTTCTTACGAGCAAACCTTAGATGCACCATGCAAGTTCCATAGTGGTGAGAAGTCATCCAACCACACCACTCGAAAGTGTCACTGGCTCACCAGAATCGCCAAGGGAGATGGACTCCTGCCTCCTCCGCCTGCCGGACCGCCGCCTCCTCAGCCCCAGCAGCCGGCGGCCC